GATATTTCAAAACAGCATTTTAAAAGTTAAATATATAGGAAAGACATATTATATTTAAAGCATAATGTAAAAAAACAAACCATAGAAATGCAAAGAAAAAAGTTACCTTATTTTCTTATCACCTTTTTATATTGCTATTCTCAGAGCTAAAGTCAAAACTTCAGCTTATGTATGAAATATGTGAACTACAGAAATTTTCCTAAGTTCTTAATATTTTAATTTGAGGGCCTCTCCTCCTAACAATAAAAGTCAATATGGAAATGTGATGCATTTGAAACTGAAAGCCTGGAAACCCAAGCATAACTGGGAGCTTCTAGAGCTCCTCTGTCATAACTTCAGGGATCAACTTCACAAGGCCAGTTCCACTACCAGCCACTACCCACAACAACCATAGAAACCACTAAGCAATTCAAGCCATGATGAAGATTAAATGTAGACATTCTGTCTACCTTAAGAGATTATGTGTTATGTGGAAAATTAAGAGATGATGTGTTATCTGTATGTGCTGTTGGGGAAGAAGGATTCTCTGCTGTCCGAAGATATTTAGCACCAGAAAAATGTCACGTGAAGTTAAAACACTTACTTACAAGGGAATTATATAATGGGAGAGAGAATCAATTGATTATGACTTAACATTCAAAAAAGAAATCTAGTAATTAAAACAAGTTCATCTTACATTTAACAATAAATAGGTTCTAATTCAAAAATATTCTTTCACTCTGTTTTATAGTCACTGCCTAAAGATTTCACAATGGTTTTGAAGGGGTAGCTCCAATTTTCAAAGGATTGTCTAAATCCTCTGAAGTCAAAGCACCTTTTGAAAAGAATATTTTAATATCATGATAAACGTCATCATCTTGTCTGTTTTAGGCATTTCACTTTAAATATTCCAAATGCTTTTACAACACAGACTCCAAATTAAAGTCTTGGACTATGACTATCCAGATTACAAAGACCCTAGAATATCCAAATTAAACTTTCGGATTAAAAGTATTGATGTTTTCATAACTTCACTAACAAAAAACAGTGCATTATTTAGAAAAATATTACTAAATTTCATTCATAGTGACCCATGTAATTCACCAAATAGTGTGCTGGAAATATTTCAATTGCTGAATGCTATAAATAAAATTTAAAATGTATAACTTTCTAAGGTTAATCATCTCAATTCCATTGTAAACAGTTTTTTCCAAATTCCAGTGTAATCAGAAAATAGCAAAATATATTAATCCTGAATCCATCTGCAACTAAATCTGCTAATAAAAATGGAGACAGAGGTGGAGATTCAATCCCTAGTATTGCAAAAAGAAAATAAAGCGTAAACACAACACAGTTTAACATACCTACAGAGTCAGGAAGGACACATGTTGGTGTAGAATCCAGTGAACCTAAAGAGTGATTGATCCTAATCCACATTGTGTAGCCAGATAATAGAAAGATTGGCTGGAAAATGCATTCATAAAAACCATCCCTCTGCAAATGGCAATCCTTGGGTTCAGATATGGGATGAATAGATGGAATATCAGAACAATAAAGACTGCTCCTTAAAATATACAAAAATAGTCAATTAATATACAACACTGATAAAACCAATAGGAAAATATTTGAGAATTTTGACTTGTTTAAGATATAGTTTTTATGTCTACAAATAAATGTTCTATCTACAAATAAATGTTCTTATTAGAAAGGCATTCTTGAATTCCCAGCTATATTTTAATCTTATGTTTTTCTATAGGCAGCAACTCCTATAAAATGTTTCATTATGTATTAAGTGGAGATGCAATAAATAAATAAATTGTAAAATAAACCCCATACTCCATTAATATTATTTATGAAATAAATGCAAATAATAAAATCCAGTTAAAATCTAAAATACTTAGAAAGTTAAGCTAATATTATATATTAGTGATATAATTTTAAAAGTATAGATCAAAAATAGTAATGGAAACATTCTTTGAATGGGAAGAGGCAAAATTCTCACACAATAAATAGGGGATTAAATTCCACCACAAATGGAAAATATAGCTGATGGTACACAATATAGCTGAATTGATAGTACCTAATATTTTTGAGTTCAAATTAATATAATTAAAATAATACCAATTCCTGATACACATATGAATCATAAAGTCAAGTAGATTATTCATTTTCTCAGAAAACAAAGTGAAAAAAAAGTTTTGAGTCTCAACGAATACATCCCACTTCTAAACATATAAAACATTTCTCCTTTCCTCTGCAAACAGCTCTTCTGTCCTCTACTTGCTCTGAATATGGTATTCAAATGCAAAAGTAGCAGTTACTCTTTACATCAAAGTGGGAATGAGGAATTCAGGAAGAAATCTAATCTATATTCTCTCATTTCTCATTTTTGTAATGATTTCTTATTTCCTGAAGATTACCAAATTGAAGATATAAGTAATAATAAGAGGGGAAAAATAAAAGCAAGAGATGAGGGACCATTTGTGGATAAAACATAAGAACACTATAGAAGCATAGCAATATCCACTTGAAGTCAAATGTTTAGCATCATTGTCATTCTGACAGCAGTAATCACTTACTGAATGTTTTCTAGAAGTTATATCATTTAATTGTAAGTAAATGAAATATGGCATTATTTTTCATAGAAACCCTTTAGGTCCTATCTATAATAGCAAAGGAAGTTTAGGCTTGAGGAAGTTAAACCCAAGAATGTACAGCTAGTGCCATGGTTATTCTATAAATGTTAGTGAGGTCAATGGGGTATGGGGTTTATATTACAATCTTCCATTAACACCTCTTTTAATGTGAAAACACCATGCAAAGAATGTAAAGAGAGATTATAAAAGTAAAATGCCATATCATGAATATTATATTGACTTAAAAACTAATACCAGGTAGGATAAAGACAGCTATTTTTCCTAATTTGGGAAATGCAGAAATAGTCACCTTTTTTTTTTTTACACTTCATACGAATAGAATCATAGCAACTAGGAACAGAAGTCAAATCACAATATTTGAAGGAGGGGATTCGTTCTTCAAGTAGAAATTTTAGATTCTAAAAACAAATGAGCATGTTCTACATGTTCAGTCTCCAATACAAATAAAGACCAAATTGGAGCACAGTGTTTAAGAACAGTATACATATTTTAAAATACTATATTTTTTAAATGACACTGTATCTAACTTCTTATCAAAGGTGATATCATTCTAGATAAAATGCTTTATAGAGACAAGAGGAATACTGTGAGAATATTCTTAAATTGTTTTTTTTAATGCATTCTTTTATTTTTCAAGAGGAGTGTGTTTTTCCTCCCATAGCAACTAAAATTCTCTAATAACTTCATTTTTACAGCAAGATGGGACTAGAAATTTCTTAATGAATATCTTCTATGGTGTCAAACTGTGTGACTGTGCTTGAAACAGCAAACAGCTTCTGAGATGAGTAGCCATTTGCATCTCAAGGTAACATATCGTGTGATCTTCATGTGGGTACAAATCAAGAATCTCACATTTATTCCTCTTCATCCGCATGGTCTTGAGCAAATAAAGGAACTGACATCACAGTCCCCATTACAACTATCAATGACTATATGCTAACCATAACTCAGAATTAATTAGATTTTTGGGTTGATTTTTCTGCCCAGTGATGCAGGGGGTGGTATATACTGAGCATTTAAGATTACAGAAATGACTATAACGGTTCCTTCACAATTTGATTTCTCAAATTGTATTTAAAACAAAGAAAGGTAAAAAGCAGGCACACATTTCTCTTTATTAGAACATTTTACTCTTCATTAACATATTTCCTAAAACATCATCCAGTTCTAAAAAACATTCATATTGTCTATTAGAATATTTTGTGTCTGCCTCTTTTTTCTAAAATATTAATCTTCAGCCAAATGATAAACTTTTTTAATCCTCCACATTCTTCTACTCTAGTCAATTTTCTAGGTCAAATTAAATTGTATATAAACTATTTTTTCCTGAATATCATTTAAGAGTTAAAATGCAATTTTAGAAAATTGGTTGTAAGTAACTATAATGCACCAATAAAAAACATGGAAAGAAAACCAGTTGTTAGATAAGATAATCTGAAGTAAAAAAAAGTTACAAATTTTTAAACCTCAGGTATAAATGATTTTCAAGAATTATCAACTTATTTAATCCCTCAAAAATTTCCCCACTAATTATATTCTACCTTCTGCTTTCAGGAAGAAAATCTACAAGAGTACTATTATCAGTGGTATTTCCTTTTATTGTTTAAATTTTAATTATAGACAGACACAATATCTTTGTTTTATTTATTATTTTTATGTGGTGCTGAGGATAAAACCCAGTGCCTCATATGTACTAGGCAAGTATTCAACCACTGAGCCACAATCCCAGTCTCTATCAGTGGTATTTCTATGGAAAATTTTTATTTTTATTTCACCATACACAGAGAAAAATAAAGCGGCAAAAATAACACATACCTGTGATACCTCAAGTGCAGAGTACTTCCCACAAGTGACTGGACTATATTGGCTGGCCATCTGCAAGTCATTTTAGTTAAGTACCCATCAGTTTCACATGATATATTGATATTGACATCTATTTAAAACACATTAAAATATTAATATAAAGCAAAAACACCAGAACTTTTAATGAAAAAAACTGTCCTAACGTCTTTAATAGGCCACTGATATAGGGTCCATAATAAAAATGTGTCTAGCGGAACTAAATGAACAAAACCTCAGAATTCTTACCAATCACATATAATTCAGCATAACGATGGTGGCATTCATGTTCATTGCAGCAGTACACTGCATCGTAGGTAAACTTCCCTCGAGGCTTGGTTGCTTTCAAGTTGGGAAAAGTAACTTTGCTAACATGGTCACTCACAACATGATACTGGCTTTGAGGAATTTTCTCAGCCAAATTCATCCACCAAACAATATTTTTTGAGGAAACAATCTTGTTTTCATTTTTATAAATGCAGTGAAAAGAAACGTTAGACCCAACACTTGTCAGAATTTTAGGGGGAAAGTATATGACATCTGTAATGAAAGAAAAGAAAGAGAGAAGCTCAGATGAAGACAGAAAACATCATGGAAGCGACATACATCTTGTAAAAAGGATTCACAACACATTCCAGGAATACACTGACAAAAATAAAACCAGTATTCTAAGAGCTGGAAGACTCTAAATGCCTGTTCATGGCAGCTATTCAGTGTCTCAAGAACTCCTGCTCTCAAGTGAATCAAGCTGTCAGGAATGTCTCCGCTGTCTTCTAAACACAGAGGCTTATTCAGTGCAAAATATGTTTTAGTAACAGTCACTTGCAGCAGTATCTTTGCAAGATCTACATGAATGAACTTTTATTAAAAGATGAATTCTGATAAATATTAAAATTACGAATTACTCAAAAAAATATAAATCATGAATCAAAAAATTTCAGATACAGTTATTTGAATAGGTGTTTGTTTCAGAAAATAGGTTTTTAATTCTTGGAGCAAATGTATCTATTTTTCTTTAAGAGGAAAATAATGTCTGTATCCCATTATAAGAGCAGCCAACAGTGAAATGTGAAAATTGCATAATGTCTATTTCTTCTCTTCTTTGATAACATCAAAAATGCTTTTAATAAAGTTGTTTTCAGTACATATCATAACCTAATTGCAATATTCTAAGGTTTGGTCAGTTCTGGTAAAAGATCTGGGTTTTCCTCTAAAAGTTAAGACCTTCCAACAGCTATAGAGAGTAAACCCTGTCAATTCCTTTCAAGAGAATTTCTAAGAATTCCTTGATTAGGAATAATCAATCCTTCATTAACTGCACACTTCGTAGGTACAACTGTATCAATGAATAAAAGGAACTTTAAAGGTAATAATAATTCATATTGTTTGCTATGACAGGACTATATCAGGCAATCTCTGTTCAAAAAAAATGATAAAATCCAAATTGGAAGTGAGGTGCTCATATTAGTTCATGGTATATAAATTCATGACAATATCATAGGTCAATCTCATAGGTCAATATCAATGCTGTTATCAATAAAAGACAATCCAATAATATTAAGAACTTTGACTTAAGCAAGAAGAATTCTCTATACAAAGAATAGAAAGTTCCCAAGGTTGGAGAAACCTGTTGTGGTGTTGTATACCATTCAGAGGATAAAGTGCAAGTATCATTAATTGCTATGAAAGTAGACACTGCTGCCAAGACAATTCAGCAAAGAAACAAACAAAAAACTCCATGCAACTCTAAAACTTCATTTCCCACATACTGCAAAGGAAATTATGTTTTACATAATTTTGATTAATAGGTTTGAGTACCAATTTTTGGTGTCACTGGAAATGTTACATAATTATAATTATAGATGGTGCACTAATCTGCCTTGTAGTATGTTTGCAATGGACATTGGAGTTAGACAGCAAGTCCTACCACTAACTGTGTAAACTTTTTTTTTTACAAATTACTTCTCCAAATCTCAATCTCATATACAAAACAGAAATAATAGTACTTGTTATATGTGTATGTGTATTTATATAAGAATCCATAAGATTTTACATATATACATATGTGTGTGTATATATAAATACATATATATATATATAGAACCATAAGAATTCCTTGATTAGGAATAGTCTATCTTTCATTAACTGTACACTTGCCTGAAATACAGGAAGCATACCTCATACCTGTCAACTGTGGTTATTTTTCAACAGGGAAATCTGAACCTGGTTATATATTTAAGATTTTATTTTAAGATTTACATACCATCATATAATTACATAATTACAGTAAACCAGCAATACTACTTGCTTTCTGACTAATTAATGCTTTTTAGTAGTAAGTAATCAATAAATAAACTCATCACATTAAATGACTTGAATATTTGCTTAATATTTAAATGGTACTTGTTATTTCCAAATTTATAATTCCATATTCCATATTCATAATTAAGAATAAGGAATAAGTATAAGGAAAAAATCAGAATAAGGAAAAAATCCCTTCAAATAGATCAGACAACCAAAGGGCCAGTAAGTCTTTTCCTATAATCACAACTTAGCATGTGACAGGGCTAAGACTATGCCACAACTCCTATGTATCTACATCCATCATCTTCATGAAGAAGTTATAATAAAGTGCAGTTTTTCTGATGATAAAAATAAATTCAGGGACTGGGGATGTAACTGTGGTAGAGTACTTGCCAACCATGCACAAGATTCAGGGTTCAATCCCCAGTACTATGAAATAAATAAATAAATAAATCCTTGAAACAATAAAAAATATATATATATATTGAAAACTGTAAAATCAAGCATTTGGAGTGACAAGAATTCATCTGTTATGTGGAATATAATATTAAAATTTTAATATTTCAAATTTATATCAAATAAATATATACTTGGTTTTCAAACATAAATTAAAGAATTACTAATGGAATGATGTTCTGAATTTGTTAATTTGGGATTTTATATTAACTTCTAATAAAAAGCATTTCAACAAGATGCTGCTGTGGAAGCATATAAACACAGGAATTCTGACACGATTTTAATTAACAAATTAGCCTATTCTAAATTTAAAGAAAATATTGTGCCCCTGCTTTTGTTTTAGAGTCATAAAACATAACCTGCTGACAATGTACCATAGGCAAATTGAGAAATATACTTCCCTCTCAACAGAAGCTATCACAAAACCTACCTTGCGTGATAAAGATGCGAGGGGTACTCCAGTCACCCCAGATTCCAGGGCCATCCAGTCTCTTGCCCCTCACCTGAACCTCATACAAGGACCCAGGAAGCACACCATATATTAGAAAGGACGTAGTTGAGACAATCTCATCAGCCTGTTAAGTATTATTTTAAAACATCAGAGCATCAAATTAATATGAAACCTTTACCAAAAGTGATCTCAACAAATTTCAATTAAAGTCTTGCAGAGTAGTTAATTGATAACAATGTGATTAAAAGAGCAATCAGTGACCAAATAACAAATGTTAGTACATTATTTAATATAATTTTAGATAGCCCATGTGTTAAAAAAATATAATGAATGTGACTTTTAGAATTTTGAGAAATGAAGCTAAAATCAAGCCACTGCAGCCATCTATAACACATGTGATAGAAAATGAAGTGCAGTGGTGGAGAGAGAGCTACGAGGGTTCCTAGAGGACAGCTGCGTGGAAGGAGAGCATGAGTAATTTTTAAGGACCTGAGTCTGAGAATAATCTACAGGTCATGAGTCAATACATAGTTTATAAACCAGAGTAAAACATCTGAGACAATCCCTGCACTAAACAACCTCTGGCTAAAAATGATCTGGTGAATAAATTCAGTTTTCCAATAATGTTCTCCAAAGTTATTAAACTCTCTGGCATCTTAAGACCGTGGAAGTCATAGACTAAAAATGATGGAAAGCATCAGCAAAGCATGAAACAATATCAAATTGCCCATAGTTAAAATCCTATTATCTCTATAGATGAGAGAGCAGAAAACCACAGACACCTTAACTCTACTTTTTCCCATATATGACACAGTATTACCAATCTTCTCTTTGTGAAAATAAAACCTTAAAAAAATTAGCCCAGATCTAAAAAGACTGGTGTTTACTTCTGAATTATATGACACTTAGTTTCATGAAGTAATAGCAAAACCAGTCACATGTCCCAAGAAGCTATTTATGAGCTCTTCCTTCTTTACCCCACTGATACTGTCCACCACTACTGGGGCTAACTTCTTCAGCCACAGTGGCCTCCTCTGCATTGCTGTTCTCTCTGCTTGGAAGCTAATTCTGTCAGACACCTGGCCATCTCCTTCAAATCCATTGCAAATGTCACCTTCTCAATGCGGCCTACCAGGTTAAATGTAGGTTACATTTACTATTATAACCTTTGTTTCCCACCAGTACCCCAAATTCTTCTTATCCTGTTCTAGTATTTCAACATTTCCCGATGCACACAGAACAGCTCCCAGCACCAAAGAGGTACTCAATAAATATTTAATGAATAAAGAAAGTTTTGACACACTTTACGGTAAAATCAATAAATTAATGTGTAAACGAATATATGAAGCAATACTAAAACGATGAATTGTAAAAAAATAGTCTGTAGTTGAAAAACAGTTATAATTATGAATTAAAGTTTCTGCAAATGGAATTCCTGTGGCCACGTGCATGTGTGTATATGTATTTATTAATTATAACGAAATTATAATTCATTCAATAATAATTCATTTTGCTCTAAAAAGGAGCACGTATATTAACACGCAGAGGATAATTTTTATGGGATTTGGGGAAGTCTTTAGTCTTTAGCAACTCAAGTTTTCATATTATTTACTGAAATATACTTACTTCCCTTGTAACTGTCGTAGAATTTTCTGAATATTTCACTTGATATTGAAGTGGAAACGGTACTGATGTTGGGCTGTGCCAAGAAACCTCTAAATCTCCATCATCTGTGATTTCCATATGCACATCTAATGGTGGATCAGGCTTCACTTAAAAATAAAAAAGAGAGAATACTTTAAGTCAAGCAATTTTCATGATAACCACTCTCTGAATAAAATGAAGTCAACATGAATTTTAAGCATATCCTGCCTTTTAACTACTTAAAAGGTAACTTCACTCAGGGCTAATTACAAACCAAAACAAAGTTATAATATTGGGCTTATTCTTTGTACCTTATCATAGCAATCCACATATCTTCATTTCCTTCCCCCTAAGTGGTAAAGACTATAAATTGGTAAATGAGATTATTTTGATAAATGTGATTTCCTGTATAAAAAGCCTGCTAAACTTTATTTAACTCAATATTTCTTAAACTTATTTGAAGTCTTTTCCCAATCCCCACCTTGCCTGTTTTAGTGAATATCAAGTGGGAAAAGCGCTTTACAGAATGCTATTTGAAAAATGGATAAATTATACAAAATTCGGCATATCTATTCATTCAAAATCACAATACAAACACACCTGTTAAAATAACCCACAGCATGAATATTACCACACAATAAATTTACCATCCATCCTGGTTGTCACCAGA